ATATTACTTACACATGTTTCCCTCATTATTGAACATGAATTAGTCGCACCTTATGTGCATGGCTTCCTAGTATATATAGTAGTAATTACAAGCCTCTATTCTGTAGTCTTTAGCTGGTCATTTCTTACCGCCAATACAAAGGTCTCTACTCTTCACTCCCCTTTCCTCTCTTTCTCTTAAGTTGATAGTTTGCGTATCGACCTTGGCACTTTCTTAGTAGATTGTGTTGACGTGCCTGACAATGTGGAGCTATATTAGTGCTTGTGGTGTGGGAATCTGTCTGCTGTGCTGAGGAAATGTTTGTGTTCATATTGTTATTACTTTTTGCATAAGTAACTAACTTCAATTTCATTCACAGGTAGTGGATGTGCAAAGACAAGGTGGGTATAATTACTGTCCTAATATTCATTCCACTAACACTGCTTCCTTCAGATATTGCGACTCTGGCTGCCAAAAAGCACACTGGGGCACACATAAGAAACTCTGCAAAGCATGCCAATAGGCCCACCATTTGCACTGGTGCTGACTTTTGGGAGTAGGAACGTGTAAGAAGAGAGTCCAAAATGCAATGACAAATGTTGTATTCACTTATTTTACTTATGTATATCCGCATTGTTGTAGTATTCCATCTTGATGCTATCAAGGTACTCAGCAGCACCTGAAAGGTGCAGAACCTTTGCAAAAGCAGCATGAACTCTGACTAAATTAAGGTTGGTAGTGCTCGACACCTGGTTCTGCCAAATTTCGGAATCCGGCTGTCTGAAAGGTTGTTGTGTCTGGTCTGAGGGTATTCTGAGGGCCATGTGTACACTGTCGTCCATCCTTCTGATTATGTTGTTCTTGAGTCAGCTACATCTTGTACTTGTTGGGAGAATTTGGATACTGTCAAACCAAATAAAATATCATTAATCAATCTTGGAGGCAGTGAACAAAAAGGAAAGAGGCCAGAAACCGTCATGTAGATGCTGTTTGAATCAGTATTGACATTTGAGTCCTGTAAGAGTCTTGATGTCAATCCCATGTTTATAGGCTCGTAAAATGCATGTTATAAGTCTTTACTTGAGAAAGCTGACTATACTATATCTATGTATATACCTATAGTTGTGTATGAATAAGAAATATCTAAGCAAGTCATAAGTAAATAAGTGAAAGGTATCATTATAATTGAGTCAAGGTGAAAGATATACCAAAGGTACTTTATAGTTTACTGTATGTGGCCAGCCAACTATGGACTTCCCCACCCTCTACAAATTTATCCACATTATCCAACACAAGAGCCCTAAACTCACTCCTAGATATCTCAAATGGTACCAAATCCTTGCCCAGCACTGCAATTGCTTCTTTGCAAACATCTGCTTCCTTGTCAAACTGCACTGTTTGATTCTTCAATGTTCCATACATTAATGCATGATAGTAAGAACCCAAAAACGACTCTTTTTCATCATACTCACAAAAGATATGTTGAAACAAGTCGTCATAGAGAGCACTGAACATCATTGGGTCTTGGATACACTGCTCAAATAAATATAGCCCATGACAGGTTGCAAAGGCCCATGAGAGGAATGGTTCCTCCCCAGGATGAAGCCTTGACTCTGAAGCAAGCATAAGCTGATTGAAAGTTGCTTGATCTTTCACATTCCTTGTCTTCAATGAATGATCTACATCCCAATATGGGTGATTGACAATGAAAAGAGGATATCGTGCAAAAGATGATGTAGGATTAGTGACAGTGAACTCCCAGTCAATTACAGCAGTTATATGCAGCAAAGAAGAATCAATATTGGTAACCATGATGTTTTGGGAATGAAAGTTGCCAGGAGTAATGAGGAACCCAGAAGCATTGAGAGAAGTATCATAGATGGATGGAATGAGTGAGTGCATAAACCAGAACATGGCATACTCCCCAGAAATGTTATTGCCAAACTCATCATTAGTTACACATTGCAGTTTTTTGTTGGCATAAGCCACCCAAAAGTCAAGCACACTCATGTACATCTGATGCAATATAGCACTTAGCACTTCTGAACCATAGGAATCTGTGACTGTCAACATAGGAACAATATGCCAAGTAGGTTTAGTGACACCATCTCCCTTCATAAGAGCTCCGATGCTGTTGAAGCGGAGTGAGGAAAGTTGGAGTAAGATATCAATAACCTGCTGGAGCACAACCTCCTGCTTGTTATCATCCATGTCATTCCATACAGAGCATAGTGGTACACCATCTACTTTGGTCATCAAGATATACAGTGATCCCACACCTCCACCATCTCTATCAATGCTATGTCTGACAATGCAGGGAATAGGGATACTACTGTGTATTGCAATGTACTCCATGGTGGCAACCTCACTGCAAATGTGACTGCACAAGGCGTCAGTGCATTCATTGGTCATCCCATCTACTGGTTGATATGGGACACAAGCAGCAAGTACTGTGTTGTTGGTGTCATCAAGATGGAGAAAATGAACAATGTTATAGCCCCCAGAAATTTGTTCTCCCCACATTGCTGAGCTGACTTAATAGAGCTGGCATGCAATAGTGGAAAGAGTGTCCCATTTGATAACATTTACTGTAAGACCCAGGTGGGGATTTTTATCTGAGCAGGTACAGATTGGAGGGGATGGAGAGGATGAAGGGGGTACTGAATCAACCATGATGTGAAGAAACACAATTCTAAGGGAATGATGTTGAGGTTACAATGAGATGAAGAAAAACTTGCAAAAAGAGAAACTCGTGAAAGAAGAAAGCAATACAAGTTGGTACTGGCATAGTACACCCTGTGGTCAAATAAAAATTAAAGCTCCAAATGATGTGGAGGGCAAGTGTTTGTGATTTTCTTGAAGCATCAAATTCCTTCAAGAGCATAGGATTGGTGGGGGTTGTGCTGCATGGAGAAAGGACATCAATCAATTGATTCCAGGGGAGGAACAGGGGATAGACTTCAAGCTACTAGCATATTATAGAGATGCAGTATTCTCATTATGAAGATAGTCTGAGATCTCCATTTCAAGGAACATTAGGTTGAAGCTAGCTGGGAGAAGGCAAGAGTTCAGTTAGTAGGTTGCATAGTCCATCACCTTGATGGAGGTGGATGGGTGTTTGGGCTGTCATATCATGTGACCACAGGCCTGCATAGTGTATACAGTTGAGCTGCTCATAATATATATGCTAATACTGTATAATTCTCATAATGTATGAGATTTGGACCAGAACCATACTGGGACGCAGGTGCTGTGCATATTGTATGATGTATAAGGCGGGCTGGATTTTATATTTTATTAGGGTGGTACTTGTAGCCTTTTTAGGATATATAAGCCTCATCCCTTCAACATTTTGGAGCTCTAAAAGGCATCTCTTGGAAGGGTCAGCTCTATAAACCCAGAATCAACATGGCATTGTTGCATCAAGCATAGGATACTCACTCTCTTTTCACAATCCTTTTCTCAGAAATATGTCCCATAATCTCACACACAAAGTTCATTCAAACATCATGCCCTAGCAGCATCAAAGGCTGCAGCAAAAACTGTTGAAAGATGCTCTGAAGTCTTCTACAAAGCCTATCAAATTGAAGAGAAAGCGTGACAATCTCATCCTACACAACTAGGCAACTGTATTTGCCTTCATGGTCCAACATCCTGACCTCTCTCAAAGTGGTGTCATCCAATATTTTGCCACTTGCATTGATTTCAGTCCATGATGGCAAAACAAGTAGTGTTGGAAATGTTCTGGAAAATTCTCACACACCCTAAATTTGGAAGGTGCCACACATAGTCACTTTTGTCACACATCTTCATAATGTATATTTCTCATAACATATTAAAAAAGGTCTGGTCCCAGTGTTATATGTTATGAGCAGTTCAACTGTACTTCATGCTTGACATTCTGATTGCTAACCTGTGTCTTAGACAGCAGAAGGCAACAATGATGATCTTGCATGCAATACACTCCAAGATTCGCCTCTGATGTCTCCAGCATATTACCAAATAGGGTGTTCACACAAAGGATTGCCAATAGGCATAGAGGTCTAGTGAGAAAGCTGCATGAGTCATTGATAGTGATAAAGAATGAAAGTCTGAGAGAAGAAAGGTGTGCATGAACTAGGAAGTAAGAAGCTTAAAGGTGGAGAGAAATGGCATTTTCACTTTGTTCTTCATAAGTTCATTATATCTTCTCTTCTGCATCCCCCTCTGTCCTATGAGCAAAGAACAAACATAAAACCAGTGATTCATTATAATCATTTACATGTGTAAATGATTATAATAAATTGTGAACAACCCTGCTCTATAATTACTGTTACATGATGTCAGGCATGTCAACACAATCTACTAAGAGAGTGCCGAGGTCGATACGCAAACTATCAACTTAAGAGAAAGATAAGGGAGAGGAGTGAGGAGTAGAGACCTTTGTATTGGCGGTAAGAAACGACCAGCTAAAGACTACAGAATAAGAACGTAAACTACTACTATATATACTAGAAGACCATGCACATAAGGTGCGACTAAGTCATGTCAAATAATGAGGGAAACATGTGTAAGTAATATATCTATTGTGCACTGCGGCTGCGTACTGCGGACATGTGTTACAAGCATGTATCTAATAAGAGATCGAAATGAAATAAGTACTACTAATGTATGTTATCCTCATGTCGTAACATGAGCTGTCTTGTTTGTCTTTGTCGTCGAAATTATAGAAACTGTTCCAGTAATTAGAAAAGAAAAAGAAAAGAATAATCAAAATAAACGGTTCATGACACATGAGAAGTTTTAGCATTAATTAGCTGACGCTCATTAACTACTGTGTCCTGACTGATTAATGACATTTTGGCAAATTGTAGTATTTAGGTTAACCTCAGCATCTATCAGATATCTACCCCAGAAGATGATTGAAAAAACCAAAATGAAAATGTGAAGAAATCTTACAGCTCTCTGTCTGGAAAAAGTTTAGCATTGATCTACCTCAAAAGATGAGTAAAAAGACTATTCCCAGTGTTTAGCACTCATCACTCTCTGTCTGGGAGTCGAACCCAGCTTTTGCACATTCAGGTAAATGAAATTCTAGATGACAGGTATGTGTACTAACCAATATACTAACAAAGATTATTTATATTTAGAGGGATGAGAAATTTAACTTGATCCCAGTGTCGGTCTACCTCGAAAGATGAGTAAAATAAAAATTCATTACATTATTCAAACTCTCTGTTTGAGAGTCAAACCCAGCTGTTGTGCAATGCATACTCTATGTCAGCTGTGAAATGACAGGTGCATGTACTGACCGATATACTAACAGAGATTGTAATTATTAAGAGAGACAAGAAGTTTAACTTGATCCCAGCGTCGGTCTACCTCGAAGGATGAGTAAAATAAAAGTTCAATATATTATTTAAACTCTCTGTCTGGGAGTCGAACCCAGCTTTCGCGCGACCGACATCACTATTGACAGGCGCGTGTACTAACCGATATACTAACAGAGATAATTAATATTTAAGGAGACGTGAAATATTTAGACCCCTGGGCCAGGATCCTGTACCAGTGAAAGAAATAGAAAAAGAAAATTAGATTCCATCGTCGGTATGGGTGAAAACGCCCAACATCCACCTCGCTTCAAAAATCTACTACATAAGCTCTCAGTGGCTCCAAACCACCCCATGTGCATGAAATAAAACACATTCATTGAAATCACTGTATCACAAAGTACAGATGATCCCCACTCGTTCGTGTCACAAAAAAACACAATTCCGTCGTATCGATGTAAGGTAAATATAAAGTAATCGGATTCCTCCTTGAGTTGCTGGTAGCTTTTTTCATCCACACACAACTACGCTCTTCCATGCTCTCTCTATGCTAATGCTAATGCTTCCACTCGATGCCCCCGTGATTCGGACATCGTGTACCGCTCGTACTCATCCACCACCCGCACACGTACACTTGAAAACTCGAACCCATGCAAAAATAAACTCGAAACGGGAGAAAAAAGATAAAAGGAAGAAGCTGAGCGAACGAACGCTGCAACTTAACCCAACATCCCCTCCCCATCCGAGTACGCCGTACTGCTTCCGTATGCACCGAGCTCGTTGTACTTGGCGATCTTGAGTCTTTGACTCGGTGGGATGGACTTGTCTTCGAGCCCGTGTGGTGCACCGCCCTGGAGGACACCGACGCGTTTCATTGCGAGGAGCTGTAAAAGGAGAGATGGGTTAGCGATTTTCGTTCCATCTGTGGTCCGCGGAAACAACACGTACATTATGTGCCGCATTCGAATGATCATATACACCGCCAAAGAACGCGGTAGTTGCGTCCTTGCCGATCATCTTAATGATCAAGTGCGCACCACCGGGATGCTCGGTGGTGAATGTGCTGACGTCGTGGATGAAGCCTGAGATGAGGATGAGCGGGCGTTTTTGTGCTTGTTCTTGGACTAGGGGACGTAGTCAGCAAGCGTATCAAGCAAGTCAACATGAGAGAGACTACTCACAGCTCTCCCAAGTAACAACGGGCAAATCATTCGAATCACTCGGCCAGGCCAACTTCTCCTGCGTTGCCCTCAGCTTCTTCAGCTGCATTGTCAATTGTCCCTTCTTGACCTCATTATCGGGGAACACCTTCAAATGGCTCGCCAAGCCGACCTTCTGGCAAGTCCAGATGAACCACTTTGTGGGATCGTACTGCCACCATTTGATGGCATTACGGTAGTCCATGGGGAACTGGTGGTGGAAGTTGTGGTAGCCCTCGCCGATGGTGCAGAGGGCGGTGATGACGTGGTCCCTGGGGGTGTGTTTGTCGTCGAAGGGAGCTTCGCCGAGCCAGTGTGCGAGAGAATTGACGCAGAATGTGGACTGGAAAGGAAGGGAGGAGGTTAGGAGGGATGTGGGATAATGGGAAGGGAAAGACATACATGATGTACGAAAATCAACCTCAATACACCCGCGTAGACATATCCACCCTTGGCATCGCCCCAGCCCAGCCAGGCGACAAGGGTCGGTACGAGGAATCCCATGATCAAGATGAGCGAGATGTAATGCTTGTGTTGCCACCTCACGACTTCACTCTTGGTCAAATCGCTCACATCGGCGACACCGGGTTTGCGCCTGGGCTTGAGGAGCATCCAGCCGATGTGAGAGTAGAAGAAGCCTTTGTGGGCGTTGTATGGGTCGAGGTCGGTGTCGGTGTAGCGATGGTGGGCACGGTGGCCGCGGGACCACCACTTGATTGAGCCCTCGACGGCGCCAGCACCCATAATAGAGAGTGCGTACTGAAGGGGCTTGGAAGCGTTGTAGGAGCGATGGGCCCACAGACGGTGGTAGCCGGCAGTTATACCAAGTCCGGTAATGAAGTAATACACTATAGAAAAGACAAACGTCTCCCAGCGCAGCGGGGTGAACATCGCACCGGCGAGGCCGATGAATGGCGTGACGACGAGGATAAAAAAGTTGAGCCAGTTAATCTCGGTCTGCCAGTTCTGCCAGGAGAGTGGGGGCAGGGGCTTGGTTGTCTTCAAAGTGTGCTCGACATAGTTGTCGGGGATGTTGATGTCGGCAGGTGTGTGCTCGTCGTTAGCGGTGCCCAAGGGGACCTTGTGGGAGGGAGGAGGAGTCATCGGGGGCGTGATGGTGGAAGTTGTAGAAGAGGCGGGGGGTGAAGCCTTGCGAGGATAGACGGAGGACATTGAGGTGAAGAATGTCCTTTGTGATGGTGACCTGAGTGAAGAAACTGAGAAAATTGGCCAGGGGTTATATATGACAATTCATTTCTTTGGGGTTGGCGCTTGGCTCCATGCACCCGGTCGTCCACCATCTTTCGACGCAACCCCTCCCCGTCTCCATTCGTCCCCAGCTCTAGAGCCCGGTATTCCCATCATTTTCTCCTGTCTAGCCTCTCCTCTCAAGGCTGCCCTCTTCTCCCCAGGCTACCACCCTCTCCTCTCTCGTCCCGTCCAGTCTTCCCCCACGCTCACTGAACGCATTCCGAAAAAGCACCCGTCACGTGCCCCAATTTTTTTTTGGGGTGTCCAAATAAAGCAACTGTCCCGATCCGCCAAGCCCTGCGCCGATTAGATTACCGTTCCTCCGTGCCGCTTAACACATGCCTCACTTCCAACAGTTGCAACCAGTCACCCCACTGCGCTCCTCGTCATCTCTCCCCACGACGTTGTGTGCCTGCACCACACAGCCTCGCCGCACCACAGCCTCTAGCCTCATGTCAATTCCCGCCTCTACACCTGATAATAACATCTTCATCAACGATTTCACGAAAAATGCAATTTCAAATTCACGAAGACATTGCTTGTTCTAATTATAGTTGCTTTATGACGCTGTAGGAAACACACTAATATCGTGATCCCAGATTCGTTGGTTCCTGTCCACCCTTACCCCAAACCAATCACATCTCCCTGTACTTCTAATCAGGTCTACTTACAAGGATTTGAGTCCCCACGTAGAAATCAAGTTTTTATCATGCGCTTCTTTGCTGTTCGCCACGTTTGCAAAATACTGCGGCAGCAGAAGCACTTCTATCCCTTCTCCCCTCCCTTCCTCCATTTACTTTTTCATTTTATGCGACTGGGGAGTTGGGGACTGGGGACTCTGACAAACAGACGCTCCAGGCGGAACGCCTCGGCTCCGATCAATAAATTCGCTTGGAGACTACAAGTCCTGGCTTCATTCGGCTATTGGATGACGTGTTTCCTCGGACGGGCTCATCGGCTGATTAACCTGCTTCCTTCCTTTCCTTCAAATGGTATTAGAATCTATAAATCGCGTCCGTCATCCAATTCCGTAGCCAACCTACAGTATCAATATATCTACCAAGAAAATGACAACATCCGTGATCAACGCTACAACGCGGGATATCTCATAATCCCCATAGCTTCGTTTATATGCAGGGTACGTGTCCCCACTGAGATTGAACTTCAACTTTGTCATATCTTTGTTAATTGCTTACCTCTGCGAGCATACAATTGTAAATACACGAACCTCCGCAGCGAAATCGGCGAAACACCGTAATCCCCATAATCCCTTCTACGCTCTATAATGTGTATCACGTAGGGTATGTGTCCCCATCGTCCCTACTGAAATTCAGCTCCCCAGTTGTTTCCGTATTAGTTCGGCGGCTCACCTTCCCTTGGCCTCTTTTCTCCCGTACTGCAACTATAAACCCTTCAAGTTCGTGCATACGTCCAATCTACCCTGCCTCCCTGTCGTCTAACCCCCAATCTCAATTCCATTCCCTAAACGTCAATGCTCAACTCTTCACTCCTCTGTCTGGACCATTTTATGATCTCAATTCTTGGGGCCGGCATGGACGCGTGTGTCACTAGCGCCTGGTATACTATGACTATCTGGGCTATCATCAATCCCCAATATCTCACGACATTTTCTCTGACATGAAACTATTTTAAGTGGACGTCCAACGTGTGCGTTTCACTACAAGTCCAACTTGTACGCTCGCTGGACGTCTAACTGTAGATTTTTCATTTCGTTCCACGAGCTTATCGAACAGTTACTGCTGTTGGATAGACTGGGTCCTCCCACTTTTTACCTCTGATTAGCATTCCAAGATGGACAGTAGGAGAGTAGCACCCCTCCAAGTAATCTAAGGTGGTATGGACGCATTTTATTTGACAATGATCCACTCCATGACTTAACATTGACACCCTTTATTTGAAATGACTCGACGTTTGTGTTCTAGTAGTCTATTTGAATATTTCACACAGGCTCTTGACATGACTGAACCCGCCCTTCAATCATTGCAACGATTGTCACCCAACGTGCACATTAACACTATACTCTACCGCTTTCACACCGCACCGTTAGCAATCCGCTCCCCTTCCCCATCTTCCGCGTCCATCTCCATATCCATCTCGACTTTCAATTTCCCCAAACTCTCTCCACGAACCCTCCCCACAATCCCCGACCCAACCCTTCCCTCTTCCATAATTCTCTGCACCCCTACCTCCACCAAACTACTCTCCTCGATGCCCCGGCCACCTATTTGACCTCCCATCTCTCTTCTTATTCTTGTTTCTTCCTGTGCAACACCCCTCTCTCTCCCGCTTGAGCTTGCACGCGCACACGCACTCTCACCCCTATCCCCAACGACAC